GCGCGCCGCCGCGTACGCGGCCCGCCCCGCCGCACGCGCGTACTCCCCCGCCTCGAACAGCGCGCGGAACTGCGCCGCCGCCCTGCCCGCCTCGCCCTCGCTCGCCATCGCCCCCTCTAACCTCGTACTCGTCCCGCCCCCCGCCCGGCGCGCGGCACGCCCCCTCGCTTATCCGCTTTCGTCTTTCCGGACGAGCTGTAAGCGACATTACAGTGCGGGTGGGGACAGGGATGTGAGAGATCCCTACCTGTGCAACACCAGCTGGGCCCGTAAGGGGCAAAGTCCGGTCCGACTTTCCCTGTGCTCGAAAATAGAATATTTCTGAAGACCTCAAAAATCATCTTTTTGCATACTACGAGCTCGCTTCGCCGCTAGCCTCCTTTGTGAGACTCGGAAAACGTTTTCCCAGAGACCCTCTTTCCAGCTATTGTCAAATCATTTTCAACAGATGAATACAACTAGAGTTATTTTACGTCAAAGAGAAAAAGTGGAGAACAATTTTCAAATGATCTCCAAAATGCTCTTCAAATTGGTGGAGAACGTCTCCAAACCGAAGTAGATTCTCTCTATTTCTCTCTACGTGAAGAGAACCTACTACATTCGTAGAATCCAGAACATCGAAGAGACGTTCTACGACTTCTTAAGAAGAAAGTCACGGCGAAGCTGTGAGAAGGTACGGCTGTGGGGGGGAAGGGGCGTGTGCGGTAGGGAGTGCACGGCGAAGCTGTGAGAAGGTACGGCTGTGGGGCTGGGGGGTGGGAGTGCCAATAATGAGTGCGCGGAATGGATGAGGAAGTTGAAGCGGATGGCGTATATGTTGGTGTTGACGGGGCAAATAGGGTCGGATGAGGGCGGGGGACGGGCTGTTCAAGTATTAGAAAGTTTCATGTTCAGCTGCAAGACTGACGTGCTTTCTCTCTCAGAATAATTAATTCATGGCTAGCAATTGATGCTTGCACCAATGTTCTCTATGTGTTCTATGTCTCCCAACACCTTGAACACACTGGCTGACGACAAAAACTACACCACTGTACCATTTTTGAACCTCCTTTCTTTTGGAACTTCCTGTTCCGAAACGTTATTATTTCAGAGTACGAGCATAGACTGCAGTAGGTAGCTCGGACTTTAACCTTTTCATGCGAAAGGTGACTATTAAGCCGGCGACGTGCATCTGCAAGGCGGTTATACTTCTTAACTACCGATGTGGGATAGATGGCTCTTAAAACTGCAGTTTGTGCTTCGCGCAAAGCTCGGTTCCCTGACTATAAGGCTCTGGCAGCGACTACCATTACCATACGAGCCAACACAAGTTTTTTGTTCAACCTTGTACTCTGCCGCAAGGCCTTGCGCAAATTCTCGAAACGTTTCACATCCGGTTACAGTATGGAGGAGATTTTTATACCCTTCACCACTAGATTACTCCTTCATTACAGAAGGAAGCTTCTATTCATCCCTTGCAATTCCAAGGCGATTAACTACGGCTGCGTTAGCAACCTGAGCACATAAAAGCCGTCCTATAATGCTGACAATAGGATGTTCGCTGGTGTTATTGTATGCTAGGGTTGTAAGGGCCCTGCTAAACTCGTCTACACCGCCTTTTAAGGCGTTCCAATATACAAGCAATATGGGGCTTATCGTTCTTGAAATACAATTGCGCGGAGGCGACGGCGCCACCGCTGCCGCCCCGGCGTACAGTGATCTCGGGTGTAAGCGCCAGCACAACCGTAAGGAGTTGTATTTACAGCTTGTGGCCGGTGCGGAGAACAGTAATACTCCACCGGCTACACGTGTGTAATCCGTACGGTTATAAGTAGTAATTAGTAGTTGATGGCACAAATTTATTAATTATGTACAGTAGCTGGTATACAGTAAGTAACAGTTACTGTAACGGGACAGGTGTCCTGGCGTCCCACTTAGAGGTTAAGACCGGGGACACCTGTCCCGTCCCAGTAAAGAGGGGCAGACTCGCCTCCCTTTCCTTTACGGCTAAGTGCTAACACCGTTCCGGTTTTCCTTTAGCTCGGGCTTCTAACCCGTGACCGGCCATCCGGTTATAACACCACTGACCGGCTGCGCGTCACCGGCCACGTGAGCCTTCCCTCTTTTCGAGTCCTTCCGTACGGTTTTTATCTACGCGTGGGTAACCCAGCGTCGCCCGCTCCCTCACCTCTAACCCCCCTCGTTCCGAGTGGTCGGGACGAAGGTACTTATACCACAATTCTGCTCGGAGGAAGGGGGCCGTGTTGTCGGACCCTGTCCTTGTAGGCCCGGCAGAGACTATAAAATAACGCCCAAGTATGCATATCAGATGCATGACTGGCGGATAGTTTACTGTTGTATTCTGCTGGAATAAAATGGGCTTCCCTTCCTACCCAAGCAAATGCACTCACACGCACTGCGTCCATGAACATGAGGTAATAGTTTCGTAGTTGTTCCGAAATATGCAAAAGAACTGCATATATCACCTCACCCACTCCCCCACTGCTACCCTTCGCCACTATGAATAGAACTTTACATATGGCGAGGGTAGCAGCGTGATGAATACATTGAAACCGATAGGCAGTCCTGGGCACAAGTTCACGATAGTACTATCCACGCCCTCGATCCTGCCAATATTCTTTAAGATAGAGAAAGTGGCAATCCTTTCTCTTATATCTTTAGCATTGCGAATTGTGTTTGGAGTGGTCATAGTCTTAACCTCAATTGAGGCCACGTGTGCTTCAAAATTGTCCGAATAGCCCAGAATCCCATCTGGGCTATCGGCCATCATGTCAGAGCTTGGTGAACCTATTAGGCCTACAGTGCTGATATACTCTACTGTGTATGAGTCCCTCTCACAGTAATTTATCCCTTCCTCTGTATTGTGCCCATATATGGGCAGAAATGCCTAAAACGGGCAGTGGAATTGGCAAAAAGCTTAGTTAAGATCAGAAACATCTGTACAAATGGTAAAGACGGTGGTTTGAACCGTTTCTGAAAGTCTCATGCCCCATAAATAGGTCAATTATGAAATAAATAACATTTACCTTCCAACAGTAAGCATGCACGTGTAATTTCCACAATTTTTCCAGATCAGATTGGCTCTTGCTGGCTCTTCCATGCGATCTCGAAGTCCATTGTCACATCTCTCCGAAGGCTTTGGACTGAGAGAAGTCCTAGTCAACTTTGTCTTTGTGGTTTCTTTGAGCCAAAATGTCGTCATCTGATCACGAGACAGAAGACATGCATTCCAGCGATGACGACATGCCCTTAACAGTTCTTGTCAGACATGACAAAGGACTGTATTCGCATGCACTATCTAATGTTGCAAGCACCACTGAAGATGGCGCGGTCTCTGAAGAGGACTGTGATTTGTCACAGCGACCGCTTCGCGAACCTCGTAAACAGCCACCGTTCCCATCAGTGATTCCATCTTTTGAACCATTGGAATTCCCTGATACCAGAATACAAGAATGTGGCAACCTAAACTTCGTGACAGAGAGCTTAAAACTACAGCCATGTCAGTCTTTCAGCGATTCTTTTCTGACAAAATTCTTGAACAGATTGTTATGAATACCAACAGATACGCAGAAATCAAACAAGCAGATGCACCTAACAAAAGACCTTGGTCACCAATCGGTCTTAAGGATTTAAAGGCTTTTATTGGCATACTTCTTTACATGGGCCTGCATAAAGAGAGAAGAATAGACGACTATTGGTGCCGTGATGAAGACACACCAACCTATCCAGTAACACAAATAATGTCGCTGCAGCGCTTTGAACAAATTAAGCGCTTCTTGCATGTTTGTGACCCCACCACAGACAATGGCAAGTCTTTTTTCTTTAACAAGGTAGAGCCTTTGTTCACACATGTCAGGGAAGCATCAAAGGCTTTGTGGACACCAGGGTGCCGTGTTTCTGTAGATGAAATGATGATCACCTGTATGGGACGCTGTTCAGAGACAGTCCGTATTAAGAAGAAGCCAATTGGACAAGGGTTTAAGATATGGGCTCTCTGCGAAAGAGGATATGTGTACGAGTTCTTTCCCCATTCCAACGAATACAAATGGAAAGAAATGGAAGCCTACAAAGGAAAGGTTATGCACTCATCTGCTGTGGTGGCACGACTAGTGGAAAGTCTTCGTGGTAATAACGATGACAACCCTGTTATGTACCAAGTCTACATGGACAACCTGTTCACAAGTGTGGCTCTGTTTAAGATGTTAAGATGTAAGAACGTCGGATGTGCAGGAACGACAAGAGCAAATACTTCAGGCTTCCCTGCCGCTCTCAAGGTAAGAGGTGTACTTAGTTCTAAAATGAAATGGGACACTATTGGGTCACTTGTGACCGACGACGTGAACTGTATTTGTTGGATTGATAATGGAGCTGTTTTGATGTTGTCAACTATTCATCCAGTTGGTCCTGGTTACAGTGTTGTGAGAAACCGGAGAAGGCCAAGGGAGACCGCAACCAATGCAAAAAAGGTGAGAAAAGTTTTTGGTTCTAGTGCTCGAAAGGAACTGGCTATCTCACTAGTTGTTGATGACAACAATCATCATATGGGTGGCGTTGATATCGCAGACCAGCTTCGATCTAACTACGGTTGTCATTTACGTGGTGTGAGGACCTGG